GTGACCCAGATCTCTTATCCACTACTGTCTACTATCCAAGTGAGTAGAAGAAACCTTGAAAATTCGAAGGAGTAACCACCCATCTGGGGAAGTGAGGGAAGGCTTCCTGGAGGTGATGCCTAGATGGGGTTCCATGGCATCTTTTCTCCTCATCTCTAGGTAAAGTCAGGGGCCTGAGAAGGCCAGGGTATGGTTTCTATTTGCTGAGCTGTGAGGTGTGGGTGAGGACAGGCCGCAATCAGCCCTTCAGGTGATGCTGCCCATCTCTGTTAGGCAGGGGTACTGCCCCTTGGCCAGTGGCCTCCAGGAGCCACTGTCACTGACCAACCGGTCACCTTCCTGCACGCCTAGGTGCTTCATGCTGAAGCTTCCAGGAGACAGGCAGACCCATACATCTCCCTTCAGGGACATGGCATCTGGTTGTCCATTCCTCCCACCTCCCTCCCAGACCAACCTGGTCCTGGCTCCTGGCTTCCCTGCGGGCAGGCCACACTCTTACTCAGGGTGGGAGTGCCACCTAGTGGGCCCTGGGAGAATTGTTACCCTGCTGCCTTCTAGGACAACGTTCACCATTCAGAAAATCCTGAATGGGTTTTGGGAATTGTGAAGTCAACTCGTTGGGTGAGAGTGTGTCTGGGAAGCTATGTGGGAAAATGGGGAGGACGATGGGGTGACAGGGATGTTAAACTTTTCCATTTTTGCCTACCCCTCCTCCCCTCGTGTACACAGTCCTCTGCACCCTGCTCCCATCCCTCCTAAGGGTGGTACCCACTGCGCCTCCCTCGTGCCCTTTGCTTCTGCTCGGTGCTTTGCCATTAACAAGCCCACATGTCATTTCTTCCCCACAGCAGCTCTGGGAGGTAGGGATAGTGGTGACAGTTCTGAGTTGCAGGGAAACAAGCAGGCCCAGAGGATAGCTTCCTTGCCCTGGCTGCCCTGCTCGTAGAGGTACCCAGATACAATCTAGGCCGGTCTGGCAGATGGCCAGTGCTTGGCAGGACCTCAGACACCAAGAGGCGTGGCCAAGGGAAAGGTGGGGGGACTTGATCTACACCGAGAAGCAAGGCCAAGCCACTGTGCATGCTGCATGCCTTGCTCATGCCGCTTTGTGCCCACAGCTCCTGTGCAGAACGGGATGAGTGGCACAGCTGTCTGAGCAGAGCCCTCCCTGAGGATTATAAGGCCCAGGCTCTGGCTGCCTTTCACCACAGTGTGGAGGTGAGTGGGGTTCCTGAGACCCACCTGACAGCAGCCTCACAGCCCTGAGTTTCGGGGGCTGCCCCCACACCCAGAAGGACTCGCAGCTCCTTCCATTGGGCTCCTCCTCCTACCCCTTGCACCAACTCCACCACGGTCAGGCAGTCACTGTGCAGGCCAAGTAGAGCACCTCCAGCTGGCTGTTTCTCACCCAAGGTTAGCATCCTGGAGGATGCAGTGGGGTGGGGTGAGGAGTTGTAGAATTAGAATCCTCCCACACATACACACCCTGTACAGGAGAAAGGGCACCCATCTAACCATCTCCTGACCATGCCGCTCACCCCATTCCATTGTTGCAGATACGGGAGAGGCTGGGGGTCAGCCTGGGGGAGAGGCCCCCCACTCTGGTGCCTGTCACACATGTTATGATGTGCATGAACTGTGGCTGCGACTTCTCCCTCACCCTGAGGCGTCATCATTGCCATGCCTGTGGCAAGGTGAGTCCCCTTATCTGAGTGAGTGTGAGCATAGGGTCATGTGGGGTGGGTACTCAGGGGCACCCAGCAGTTACTGCTGGGCCAAGAGCAGAGTGTTTTCACACTAACCCTTTGAGGTAGCGATTGTGAAGCCCCATTTGACTGATAGCCTCAAACCAGGGCTCCAAATCCCATTTCATTACACCACTCCATTCCCAAAAGAAAGTCATGGCACATACATATGTCTTTGGAGGAAAAGTATCACGTCCTGGCTAAGGGCTCATCAGAAAAGCTGATAGATACTTGCAGAGAAACTCTGAGTCTTCATGATGGGAGAGCAGGGGGACCTGGCACGGTCCTGTCCTCAGAACAGTCCCTGTAGAGACAGGGAGTGAGTCAGCAGAGGGGAGAGGATGCTGGTCCTGTGCACATGCACATGCACTATTCCAATGTGTGTCCCCACCGGGGCTTGCAGATTGTATGCCGGAACTGTTCAAGAAACAAGTACCCTCTGAAGTACCTCAAGGATCGGATGGCCAAGGTCTGTGACGGCTGCTACGGGGAGCTGAAGAAGAGGGGCGGGGATGTCCCAGGCCTGCTGAGAGGTAACCTGGGGACCGCTGTTCTTCCGGGTGGCTTCTCACTGGCCATTGTTGGCCCTGGAAACCACTCTGCCTGGGGACGCTCAGAACAAAACCAGCCCTGGAGGAGCAAACGGGTTTAAACCCACATCCGCAGCACTGTTTCCCGAAGTGCTGGCTCCATGGGATATCAATAGGCATGCCCAGAAGAAGGGTCTCTGGGAAATGCTGAGCCAGTGCCTCTCTGTGAAGGGGACGGCAGGTGTGGTACTTTGGGTTTCCTTTGCCATGGTGATCCTCTGTTCAAGAATGTTCTATAGGCATGTGTTCTGTGGGACCTTTCCAGGATAAGGATTTTGAGACAGCCAAGGAGTTGCAGATTGGGGAAGGGCTTGAGGGCTCCTTGAGTGATAGAGAAGGTTGAGGAAGCCAAGCTAGCCCCTGAGAGGCTGTGCTCAGGGTACAGGCTTTGCCCAGGCAGGATTGGGCCAAAGGGACAGCAAGTGTATACTGGGCCTGAAACCAAGCACAGAGGACAGCCCAGGTGAAGAAGGTATAGCCGGCATCCAGAGAAAGCCTTCCCTCTTGGCCTCCGTGCCCTTTGTGTCAGCACAGGGAGTGTGCCTGCCTTTCTGGTCACACCTAAATCCCATCATTAGGCCGATTCCCGTCTCCCGAGGGACCCAGAGCTCTAGTTTTATGGGAACTGGCATTCCAAAGCAAGCTGCATCCCTATCTATATGACACTCACCTCCCTTCCCTGTGGCTTGTCTTGGTTACAGAGCGGCCGGTGAGCATGAGCTTCCCCCTGTCCTCCCCCCGCTTCTCGAGCAGTGCCTTCTCATCCGTCTTCCACAGCATCAACCCCTCGACCTTCAAGAAGCAGAAGAAGGTCCCTTCGGCCCTGACCGAGGTAAGGCAGGTGGACTGCCTGTGTGGGAGGTAAGGGATTTAGAAGGCTCATGGTCCTCCTCAGTGGACAGGGTCAGACCTCCCTGCACAACCCCCCCGCCCCGGCTTAGCTCTTCAGGACAAAGAGAATTCCCAATGGGAGACACTAGTGACAGGCCCAACTCATCACTAACAAGGACTTGTCTCTTGGGCGTGACTGAGAACATGCCTGCTTGGTACCAGAAGGCAGGACCCTAACTATCAATGGTGCTAGAAATCTTTCCCATCCCTCTCTCCCCTCCGAGTCTTTTTTTCTCCTTACTTTCTCTCCTGTCCCATGGCTTAGACCTGGTCCCCAAGGGTAGTGTACAGATCCCTGGGGTTCTTCTAACTAAAACAGCCATAGTCCTGGCTTAACGCCCCCTAGCAGGCCCTCAGAGCTGTGCTGTCCGCTTAGGTCCCAAATGGCCTCAGGTGCTGAGGCTCCTGGACAGTGTGGGACTGCCTGCAGGAAGCCTCAGAATTGCTTAAACTCAAGTCCATCCTGTAAGGAGGGCCAGATTATATGTCTATATTCTGGTCACAGTCAGAAACAAATGTGTGCCCATGAATATACAAGTTGTCAAAAGAAGTGTGATCAGCTGTTCCCAAGTTTTTGCATTAATATTCATTATTGAGTAGCAGGGGGCAAGGGTTTAAAAAAGTGTTAGAGTATGGAAATTTTAAAGGGGTACAGTTCTACTCATTCACCTAGTTCCTTTTCACATTAAAAATCTTGGGAATGAACACGTACATGGTAAAAAAAATTTTTTTCAAAACAACACAAAAGAGTACATGCTGAAACACGAGTTTCTCTCCCTCTCCGAACTCCTCCACTCCCACCTACCCCCAGAGGTAACCACCAGCAAGCTTCTTATGGATCCTCCCAGAAATTGTAATGCATATACATAATAAAGATGTATATTCATTGATCCTCCTTTTTAACTGGAAAGATAACAAATTATACTGAATCTTCTATACACCTTTCGCACTTAATTTCTCTTAGCTATCATTCCACATTTGCTCACACTTACAAATCTCATACTTTTTACATTGTATGGTTGTAGCATCATTTATTTAACTAATAACCCTTTCCACCAACTGAGAAAAGATTACCTTTTCACTCCTGCTGGGGTAGTGGCTTACAGAACCCTAGTGTTCCATGAGCACAGAGTTTGAGAACCACTGATCTTAGTACTAGAGTCCAACTGCTCTGATGCTGGTGTCCTCGCTAGCTCTTTGGTAACTTTTGCTCAAAATAACAACCTTTTTATTATCCAGCAAAGACTGTGCTTAGTAGGATTTGCAGCAGCCCCAGGAGAAATGTGTCCCACCCTGTTACCTGCTGCTCTATCCCTTTTCCCATGGAGCTCCACCTTTGTAATAAGCCCTGCTCCCCATGAGAAAACCTGTAGAAATACTGCCTCCCCAAGCACCTGCCAGCAAGAGAGGTCAGAATTGCTTTCCACTGACATACTCTGTCCACTCTGCCTTTCTCCCTTGCAGGGTAAGTGCAGAGAGAGAAAGCCAGTGTCTGGTGGTGGGAGTCCTGGAACCTGTGACAGACACAGGCTCCTTTCCTAGTACTTCTTAAAACAGTCCAGGCTGGGTATCTGGGGTGGCTTAGTCAGTTGAGTGTCTGCCTTCAGCTCAGGTCATGATCTTGGGGTATTGAGATCGAGTCCCGCGTCAGGCTCCCTGCTAAGCAGGGAATCTACTGCTCCCCTCCGTCTGCCCCTTTCCCCACTCATTGTCTCTCTCCCTCCCTCTCTCTCTCTTTCTCTCATTCATGAATAAATAAAATGTTTAAAAAAAAAATCCCAGGCTGGTGGTGGCCTCCTTTTCCTGCAGTGAAACTCATTGACCTTCAGAGTATTTGCCAAGAGATCCAAGTTCTTACCCTCTCTTCAACTAATTAGGGACTTGACCTTCAGTAGATACGTCCATTCCTTTAGGCCTGTTTCCCCATCTGTAAAATGGGAAAGTCAGATGAAATTATTTCCAAACCTGGCCTTCTTGCTCCAATAGTAAGATTAGTATTTATGATTAAGATTAGTATTTAAGAGCAGTTCCATGGGTCAGACACCTGTCAGATACCTGTCTTAAATCATTTAATTCCAGTTTTGCTAGTAGGGAAACTAGACTTAGAAGTAAATTGCTCACATTGCCCATCAAATAACTGGGAGAACCTGGGCTGGAACCCCAGATTGGTATTGCTCTAAACCTGTGTTGTATTCTGAACCCCACAAAAAGATGGTACAGCAGACAAATACTACTTCTACTAATAACAATAGGAATTAAAACTCCCCATTAGGAAGATTATAAGACCTTTTAAGTAAACATTATAAAGAGATCCATCCTTAAATATAAGAGATAAGCTTAAAAGTGTAAGAATCAGGGGTGCATGGGTGGCTCAGTGGGTTAAGCCTCTGCCTTCTGCTCAGGTCATGATCTCAAGGTCCTGGGATCGAGCTCCACATCGGGCTCTCTGCTCAGCAGGAAGCCTGCTTCCTCCTCTCTCTCTGCCTGCCTCTCTGCCTACTTGTGATCTCTTTCTCTGTCAAATAATAAAATCTTTAAAAAAAAAAAAAGAATCAGGGACGCCTAGGTAGCTCAGTCAGCTGAACATCTGACTCGGTTTCAGCTCAGGTCACCATCTCAGGATTGTGAAATCGAACCCCATGTTGAGCCCACATTGGGCTCCACACTCAGCACAGAGTCTGCTTGAGATTCTTTCCCTCTGCCCCTCCCCCCAGCTGTGTTCATGCATGCTGTCTCTCTCTCAAATAAATAAATAAAATCTTTTTAAAAAATTTCAAGTGTAAAAATCAAATTTTTTTTGAGCATGTATGTGTGGGTTTTTTTTTTCAAGTTTTTATTTAAATTTCAGTTAGTTAACATATAGTATTTATTAGTTGCAGGTGTGCAATATAGTGATTCAACATTTCCATACAACCCGTGGTGCTCATCACAAATATCCTTCTTTATCCCCATCACCTAGTTTACCCATCTCCCATCCTCCCCTCTGCTAACCATCAGTGCGTTCTCTATTTTTTTTTTTTAAGATTTTTATTTATTTGACAGAGAGAGACACAGCAAGACAGAGGGCACAAGCAGGGAGAGTGAGAGAGGGAGAAGCAGTTTTCCTGCTGATCAGGGAGCCCGATGCGGGACTTGAACCCAGGACTCTGGGATCATGACCTGAGCCAAAGCCAGACGCTTAATGACTGAACCACCCAGGCACCCCATCAGTGTGTTCTCTAGAGTTAAGAGTCTGTTTCTTGGTTTACTCCATCTCTCTTTTTTTTTCCTTTGCTCATTTGTTTTGTTTCTTAAATCCCACATATGAGTAAAATCATATGGTATTTGTCGTTCTTTGTGTGACTTATTTCACTTAGCATAATACTCTCTAGTTCCATCCATGTCATTGCAAATGGCAAGATTTCATTCTTTTTCATGGCTGAGTAATATTCCTGTATATGTATTTACTGCATCTTCTTTATCCAGTCATCAATTTGTGGACACCTGGGCTGCTTCCATATCTTGGCTATAGCCAATAATGCTGCTGTAAACATTGCATGCATGTATCCCTGTGAATTAGTGTTTCAGTATTTTTTGGGTAAATACCCAGTAGTGTGATTGCTAGATCTAGATGGTAAAATGGTTATTTTAACTTTTTGTGGAAACTCCATATTATTTTTCACAGTGGCTGTACCAGTTTGCATTTCCACCAACAGTACAAAAGGGTTCCCCTTTCTCCACATCCTCACCAACACCTGTTGTTTCTTCTGTTGTTGATTTTAGCCATTCTGACAGTTGTGAAGTGGTATTTCATTGTAGTTTTTTTTTTTTTTAAAGATTTTATTTATTTATTTGTCAGAGAGAGAGAGAGTGAGCACAGGCAGACAGAATGGCAGGCAGAGGCAGAGGGAGAAGCAGGCTCCCTGACGAGCAAGGAGCCTGATGTGGGACTCGATCCCAGGATGCTGGGATCATGACCTGAACCGAAGGCAGCTGCTTAACCAACTGAGCCACCCAGGCGTCCCATCATTGTAGTTTTGATTGGCATTTCCGTGATGATAAGTGATGACGAATATATTTTCATGTATCTGTTGACCATCTTTATTCTTCTTTGGAAAAAAAAATCTGTTCAAGTTTTCTGCCCACTTTTTAATGGATTATTTGTTTTTTGGCTATTGAGTTTTAGAAGTGCTTAATGTATATTTTTTAAAGATTCATTTATTTATTTGACAGAGAGAGATCACAAGTAGGCAGAGGCAGGCAGAGAGAGAGATGGGGAAGCAGGCTCCCTGCTGAGCAGAGAGCCGGATGTGGTGCTCGATCCCAGGACCCTGGGATCATGACCTGAGCTGAAGGCAGAGGTCTCAACCCACTGAACCACCCAGGCGCCCCAGGTTTATGTATTTTATATACTAACCCCTCATCAGATATGTCATTGGTAATTACCTTCTCCTATTCCAAAGGTTGCCTTTTAGCTTTGTTGATTATTTCCTTTGCTGTGCAGAAGGTTTTTATTTTGATTAAGTCCCAATAGTTTATTTTTGCATTTGTTTCTCTCAGGAGACATATTTAGAAACAAGTTGTTACAGCTGGTGTCAAAGAAGTTACTACCTGTTCTTTTCTGGGATTTTTATGGTTTCAGGTCTCAATCCATTTTTAATTTATATTTGTGTAGCGTGTAAGAAAGTGGTCTCGTTTCATTCTTCTGCATGTTGCTTTCCAGTTCTCCCAACACCATTTGTTGAAGAGACAATCTTTTCCTATTGGAAATTCTTTCCTGCTTTGTCCAGATTAATTGACCATATAGTTGCGGATCCAGTTCTGGGTTTTCTATTCTGTTCCATTGATCTCTGTATCTGGTTTTGTGCCAGTACCATACTGTTTTAATGACTGCAGCTTTGTAATATAACTTGGAAGTCCAGAACTGTGATACCTCCAGCTTTGCTTCTTCCTTTCCAGGTTGCTTTGGCTATTTGGGGACTTTGGTGGTTCCACACAAATTTTAGGATTGTTTTGTTCTAGCTCTGTGAAAAATGCTAGTGATATTTTGATAGGGACTGAATTCAATATATAGGTTGCTTTAGGTAGCACAGCTATTTTAACAATATTTGTTTTTCCAGTCCATGAGCATGGAATATTTTTCCATCTCTTCGTGCCATCTTCAGTTTCTTTCATCAGCGTTTTATAGTTTTCATAGTACAGCAGAGTATAACCTCTTTGGTTAGGTTTATTCCTAGGTATCTTACTGTTTTTGGTGCAGTTGTAAATGGGATCGATTCCTTAATTTCTCCTGCTGCTTCATTATTGGTGTATAGAAATACAACAGATTTCTGTACATTGATTTTGTATCCTGTGAATTTACTGAATTTGTTTATAAGTTCTAGCAGTTTTTTTGGTGGTCTTTTGGCTTCAGGTCATTTTCAAATAGTGAAAATTTTACTTCTTCCTTCCCATTTGAGATGCCTTTTTTTTTTTTTAAAGTTCATTCTTTTTTTTTTTTTTAAGATTTCATTTATTTATTTGTCAGAGAGAGAGAGAACACAAGCAGGCAGAGCAGCAGGCAGAGGCAGAGAGAGAAGCAGGCTCCCCGCTGAGCAAGGAGCCCGATGTGGGACTCGACCCAGGACCCTGAGCCGAAGGCAGAGGCTTAACCAACTGAGCCACCCAGGCGTCCCGCCTTTTTTTTTTTTTTTTTTTTTTTAAGTAATGTCTGCACCCAACATGGGGCTCAAACTCATTACCAAGAGATCAAGAGTCACATGCCCCACCGACTAAGCCAGCCAGGCAACCCCAATTTGGATGCCTCTCTTATTTCTTTTTGTTGTCTGATTGCTGTTGCTAGAACTTCCCATGTTAGGTTGAATAAAAGTGATGAGAGTGAACATCCCCATCTTATTCCTGACTGTAGAGGAAAATCTCTCAGTTTTTCTGCATTTAGGACAATATTAGCTGTCCATTTTTTATATATGGCCTTTATTATGTTGAGGTGTGCTCCGTATAAACCTACTTTGAGTGTTTTTTCATGAATGGATGTTGGACTTCGTCAGATGCTTTTTCTACATTTATTGCAATGAGCATATGGTTCTTATCCTTTCTTTTGTTAATGTTATGTATCACATTGATTGATTTGCAAATATTGAACCACCCTTGCATCCCAGGAATAAATCCCATTTGATAGTGGTGAATTATTTTTTTAATGTATTGTTGGATTCGGTTTGCTAGTATTTTGTTGAGGATTTTTGCATCTATGTTCATCAGAGATATTTAGCTTGTGGTTCCCTTTTTTGGTGGCTCCTTTATCTGGTTTTGGTATCAAGGTAATGCTGGCCTTCATAGAATGAATTTGGAAGGTTCCTTCCTTTTCTGTTTTTTTTTTTTAAACAGTTTGATGAGAATAGGTATTAACTCTGGTAGGAATCAGTTTTAGAAGGAAGAGCCTTTCCCCCAGATATCTGCAGTTTCATATTATGAGCCCTTGGGGGTTGGGGAGTGGGAGCCAAGAATCTGAAACCCCACTCGGGGCAGTACTCCTGAAGGCGGTTTTTGACTCTTGTATCTCCTGGGTCCACTCAGTAAGTCCTATCTTAATCCCTGGTACTATTTCACTGCTTTTGAGGTGCTGGACATATCCTAAGACCTCACCCACATCTCAGATTTCAAAGCAGGATAAACGCTCTGCCAACTGGTTTGCAGTGTCATTTTCGCTCTGTCTGAACTGTGCTCACCACCTGGTGCCCTGACTGCTCTGCTTCTCTTCTGTTAGGTGGCCGCCTCCGGAGAGGGCTCCGCCATCAGTGGCTATCTCAGCCGGTGCAAGAAAGGCAAGAGGCACTGGAAGAAGCTCTGGTTTGTCATCAAAGGCAAAGTGCTCTACACCTACATGGCCAGTGAGGTAGTGGTGGTTTGTGCTTTCCCTCCTCTCACCTCCGAAGGCCCTCGGGTTAAGCG